AGGAAAATACACTGTTTTGTGCCACAATGGAAATACTTAATTGGCATTAGCAGAAGATGGAAGGTACAGCTAGGCGAGGTTTAATTAGAACAGGAGTGGAACAGATGTGGAAGAACTTCTACCATTTGGGAAACCATTGCCTCCAGCTGTGCAGGAACTGGGTGTAACAAGTCAATAAATAGAAAGTGACACGGCATATGCATAGATATGTCCCTCCTACAGGCCACCTGCACATTCAGAGAAAAATCTAACTCCAACCAGAAGTTGCAGGCTCCAGCTCCTCTAATTCCTGATCAGTGTGCCCATGCCTGCTGAAATTATGGGATTCAACCCCCAAAAGACCATTCGCTATTTCACCTCTCTCAAGGACACTGGACTTCCTGGAAGGCTGAGACAGCTCATATGAATTCCTAGACCCAATGGTGATTTTCTGGGGTGTTCACATTTAATTTATCTAGAACAACTGCCAGAACAACATTGGGTGTGCCTTTGTCTCAGTAGGATTCCCACATGGTCAGCCATAATACAGTGTTAAATTACTGCTAGAAGATTTAGTAGTGGTTTCAACCCTTTAGGGCAAGAGAGCAGTGTACGAGACAACACAGATGGCTCTGAGTAAAGTCTTCAGAGACAGAAGCAGTTGTGGAACAGCCCTTCTCCAAAGGCAGTGTTCCTCCAACCCCTCCCTTTCGTGGAGTGCAAGGAAGTGTGGGGCAGGCATTTCGATTTCTTCCTAGCCATGCTCATCACCTTGGGTCTTTAGGGACACATATCCAGATTTTCTGACAACAGTATGGAAGTGGTTTGCCTCTGCCTTCCTTCATGATTTTTTTTTCAACTTCTCAGTGCTCTCCCATCCAAATCTAACTAGGTCCAACCGTGTTTAGCTTTTTGAAAATAACCAAGATTAATTAAATGTTGCCAACACAACAATCCTATGAGGAATGGTAACAGCTTAATCTCTGCTGAATACCTAGGTACACTCAAAGACCATTCAGTATTATAATTCACGTGGGAGTCAATAACTGGCTTCATAAAACTCATAAAGCCATAATATGTTCTGTTTAGTTTGGGGTAGCCATTATAGTTGATGAACTGTAATTTATGGCTTACTGTGCATCCAGCCAATTGTGGCTTATTCAATCCCACTGTGGCTTATTCAAGAAATCATGGTAAAACAAACCATGATTTTGTGCACCATAAGCTCCCCACCCTTATATTTGAAAAAGCAGCTCCAATAGAGCTACCAGACCTGGGCTGTACATATCTGGATGAAATTATATGACAGCAAAATCTTTTCTGCCAACTTTCACCATCTTGTGATCATCCAGATCTAAATCTAATAGGCCTAAAATATAAGACAAGTGATTTGGATATGTCTTCTCCTCAAAGATATGTTATACATTCAAAATACAATAGAACTAAGTGGTCTGGGAATATATATCAGCAGAGAGCTGAGACTTGATCTGACATATGTATAATAGGCAAACAGCACAAGGCTACCAAATGTGGACTGAGCCCTACCAATGGTGACAAACATCAAGGATGTATTTGGTAGCAAGCTAAACCTCCAGTACTACATGGACATCAAGTATATTGCATCCTACTGTTCCACATTTCCTGCTTCCATTGTAGTTCTTGCTTTTAATTAACAGTCTTCAATTGCTCAGGAAACTCATGCTTTGGCCTGGTGTCTAAATGATCAGCCTCACTGGTGAAGGCATGTCCAAGGCATAGAGCTACCACTAAAAAGTCTTTCTTGTAAGCCACCACCCACCACAGTTCAACTGATGGGCATATCAGGAGAAAGACATCAGATAGCAATCTCGGCAGATGAGCAGACTGATGCAGAAAAAGCCAATCCAAATGATATTTGTTCCCATCTGTGTAAGGTTTTAAGGTTAAAGACTTACAAGGCTTGCTCCCCTTAAGCAAGCTCTTTGGGAGCAACGTATGAACATTTAAGAACTGATGTATAGGACTGTACAAGTAAATGTTTTGCTTAGTCATTTCGCATCTATCCAGCCAGTGCTGCTCAGGCAGAGAATCATGCTTGAGTGGCAAACGTTTAAAATTCAGAGATGGAAATCCATGAACTGGAATTAAAATGGACTGGAAAGTAAAACCCAGATGAAAAGTTCCACCACATTTTTTTTAAGCCACGGCTGTCCAGTAAAAAAATGCAAGCTGAACCGGATAGCTTGGGACAGGCTGGCAGGAACTTCTGTATGCTACAAAGCTGATAAGCAGGGAAGCCTGGAGCCTGTGAAAGAGACCAAGCTGACAAAGAGTTTCAAACAGAAGAAAAGAAAAAGAAAAAGGCACGGGCGATTTTCCAGTCAGAGAGCTGAGGATGGAGAAGGCACATTCTGTGTAAAAATACTCGACCAGAGATAAGTAAATCCTGGAATAAACTTTTTTTAAAAAAAGGTCTGCCTGGGAGCCCCACATCCTGAACAGGAGGTCCTGATCTTCTAAGGGGAGAAGGCAGGGCACAGATCTTCAAGGGTAACATAGAAATGCAATCCATATATATGTAGAGGAACCCATGCTCTCCTATATGGCCCAGAGGCTTAAAAAATAGAAGTGTCACTATTAATGTACAGCCTAAATTAAGCTATAAATACATATCTCATTAAGTTATATTTTCAAGAAAGTTCAATTCAAGAGCTTTTGACTGGAACAAGATAGAGGGGGAAGGAACAGGGATTAGCCACACAAGAGAGAAGCAGGCATTCAACCTCATCTCAGCAAACAAGTGAACAGGCAATCCTAGGGCAAAAGGACACTGCCTTTTCAAGTGCAGGGAGAGTAATTTTTCCAGCAGCGAAGGTGATGATTAAGCTGTGTGTTTATTCTGCTACACAGGCCAAAGATTCCAAAATAACTTGTTCAATAGGATCAACTGGTTTGGAGAAAATTAACATTCAAGCTGCGCTGAATCTTTACATTTCCATGGGTCAAGAACAAGGCTTCAATGCCTCCCCTCTGAAAAGTTAAAACAAGCCATAATTTGCAAGAACATGAATTGATGTAAACAGAGTTGTCCACATAGCACTCACAAATGATATTCATTAATGTTCAAAATCTAAAAAAAAAAAAAAAAAGCTGAAATCTCATTACATTTCATGAGTTTGAGCTTTTCTTAGCTTTAATGTTTATTTTGTTGTTGATGTTGTTGCATGCAACAATACAAAAGTATATTAGAGCAAGTGGTTATGTTCCATATCTATACTGATACCATGCATATGTTCCACAGAATCTATTTTTTCCTGCTACATTTTTCTTCTCCCTCTCATGCAGAAAGTATGCTTGGTTCTGACTATGAATCAGACTGCCAAGCAAAGTACATGTGTATCAACAGGAAGGTAAATTGTGGATCTGAACGTGAAGCTACTATATCTGCAGCAAGGCTTAACCTCAGAATCTCCTTTTACAGTCAGGATCCTGAAGCATCTCTTGCTTAGGAAATAATCAAGAACAAGGTAAAAGAATATTTCCCTGGACAAGCCATCCTACCCCCACACACTGACAACCAAGATGGCAGCAAAACTTCCATAAAGGCCAAATGAAGGGGGAAAGGTGAGAATGAGATAGTCATCTTCTACTTCATACAGTAAGAACAGCACTGGAGTGTGGCTGGGAATTATGGAGACTGTGGAACTGCAAGATTGCTCTATATCAAGTGCTATGCTGTATTTTCTCTATAGGACCTGTGACCAACATGCAGTAACTATTTTCCATCTTCAAACAGCACTTGTTTAATGCCAGAAATAGAACTTCAGGTTATGATGATTCCAGAACTGTCTCCAAAACAAGAACAAGGCAGCGAGGTCACCAGTCTTCCATAACTAGTACTACCAGAAAAATAAATATGGCACATAAAGTCAAGTGCTTCTGCTTACTACTCATTTTTAAGGCCAACACAATGTTTACATCACACAGATGTACACCATTTCACTCCAAATAAGACAGGTAAGATTATTTGCTCTAAGCAAAAAAACTCAGTATGGCTGCTGAATCAACTTCAGTCCATCAGTAGGACAAATATTCAAAAGGTTACTCAATCTCAAACCACTTCCGTACTAGCAGTTTACAGCATCTTCAAGAGCTCAGCTGTCCAGAGTTCAGCTGTTCAACAGAAAAGAGTGATGTGGACAAATTTTATATCACTTCAGTGATGGCTGGGTGGAGATGCTATGAAGATGCTCTTAGATGCTTGTGAGGAAATGGCCCAAGTGAAGCTTGCTTGCATTGAATTCAGTCCCAGATTGTAAAACTAACACCAAATAAAAGTATTATAAAATCAGCACACCGTCACATTTATAGCATTCCATTGCAATATTCCCCCAGATCTAAAAGTTCTCCTCCTTCACAGTCTGTCACCAGCAATCCCCTCACAATCCATCCCAGATTCAAAGTAATTCTGAGGACGTCTCCTCCACTGCATTCTAGGTCCCTTCTATAACTATTCCACCATTACCACAGCAAGTTCTCTACCTTCCCAGTTGAATCGCCAGTTTGCACCCCTTCAGAAACACCTTGTCTGCCTTGAGCAACTTATTCCTCAGCCATCCCCGCTCATCCCATTTGACCTTCCAGTTTGCCCAGTAGGATCGTCACTCCACTTCCCCGCTGCCACCCTTCAATCTCGCGCGCCGTCCTCCCCGCCTTACTCCTAGTTCCTGGGCACGATCCCTCTAAGCACTAGGAGTGCTTCGCTTTCCTAGCACAGCCTGGATCGATGCATTCCCCACAATGAACGGATCTGCCCTCCCGCCATTTGGCCAGGATCCCCTCGACTCTCAGCGAAAGCCCCGGTTCATGCCGCCCGGCTCTCGGTAAGCCTCCCAATTTTCTTCGCCCCTCCTTAGTCAGTCTCCCGGTTTCCCTCCCGCCTTGATAGCCTCCTTTCCACGTCCAGCAGAGTCGTGTACTATTCGCTAGAAGGAGGCCACCCCCGCCCATCCACCCCCGCGTGCGCTCCGAAACCAACGCACCCGCGAGCCGCTTTCCCCGTCCCGGCTCCGGCTCTCCTCGGGGCTCTTTGGCGGCGGGATCCCAACCAGACAAAAGGCGACTCCATTCATCGGGCGCGGCACTGGCCCCGACGGGGCGGACAAGCGGCCACAGGGGTC